ATTGGCTCTCAGCCCCCGGCGCGTCATTCAATGTCCGCACGCCACCACGCAGCCGGAAGTCGCACCACCGGTCACGTGATATCGCTTCCCCGCCGTGCTCACTACCACCACCAATATGGCCGCCGCCTGGCATTCCGCTACGCTGCCCCCCCTAAGACCGAAGCTGTCCCTAGCCTCTCGTCTACTACTACTGCTGCTATCTCAACCGTGTGGTCCACTGGGGGTGGTTCACAGTACCTTAGGCGCTCATCATCAGTCTCCGCCATTGACGAAACATAGGGTTTTAGCTTGTTAAAATGAATAGTAAACCCTTGACCGGGACTATCGTCCAGACTGCGAATTAGACATGTCGTTTCACTGAGGACCGTGTCTACCACATAAGGTCCTTCCCACGAACGTTGAAACTTCCGACCTTCGCCCACTACGTTCGTGGTAGCCATCCACACGAGGTCACCTTCCTCGACAGGGGTACCGTGGGCCCGCTTATCATAGTAGTCTTTCTGTCTTTTATGAGCGAGAGCCAACTGTGACCTGGCCGAGTCGAAAGACCGACGAAGTTGGCGTCGTACCTCAGCCACGTACTCTGAAGTACTGACGTACTCCTGCTCTCGAGGTGGGGGCGCCACAATATCGGACGGTAGCCGCAACTCAGGTCCGAATGTCATTACTGCTGGCGTTAGACCCGTGGAGGAGTGGACAGCAGACCTATATGCTAGTAGGCATGCGGGCAAGGCATCATCCCATTGATTTAACCCATATTCATCGAGTTGCAATCTTATGAGCATCTTGAGCGTCCTGTTAGTTCGTTCGACTTGTCCATTCCCTTGAGGGTGATACGCCGTAGTACGGCTTCTGTGAACGCCTAACAAGTCGCACAATTCTAAAAGCAACATGCTTTCAAATTGGCTGCCTCTATCTGTGTGAATTTGGTAGGGGACTCCGTGATCAGCAACCCATCCTGCCATGAATCCTTTTGCTACAGACAGAGCGTCTGCCTTACGAATAGGTACAGCGTTCGCCCATTTCGTAAAATAGTCAACCATAACCAAAATGTAGCGGTTACCACTAGCTGTCTGAGGTAGCGGGCCCATAAGGTCTAAACCCACGAGTTCATTTGGGAACCCCGCTGTCATGGGTTGTAGTGGTGCTCTGGCCGCGTGAGGTGGAGACTTGACTTCGCCACATCGGTGACAACACGCGCAAATGTCATTTATGTCGTCGCGCATGGCCGGACACCAGTACCGCCTACGGGCAGCTTGCTCAACTTTAGCTGGTCCCAGGTGGCCCAAACTAACATGCAACTCAGTCACGATTTGCTCCACGGCGGACCTTGGTACTACCACTCGCAAGGGGTACGATGGTCCAAATTTATAGTATAGGACACCGTCCCTAAAGCAAAGTTTATTCCAGGCAGACCAAAGCACTCGCGCTTCTTGGCTGCTTCCCGCCATCTCTTTGTCCGTAGGCTTGGGAGAGCCTATCGTATATGAAGCTTATGTAAGGATCTTCCGATTGAGCCGCCCCCCAATTCTCAACCGTAGTTTGTTCCATGGAGATGGCGGCTACGTCCGCAGTATGTTCTGGGATCCTAGACAGGGCATCTGCGTTCTCGTGTTTTCTTCCAGGGCGATACTCAATTTTATAGTTGAATTGGCTCAGCACCTCCAGCCATCTTGCAATCATGCCCGAAGGTTCCTTGAAGTGATGCAACCACCTGAGAGCTTGATGGTCCGTACGCACCACGATCTCGTTGCCCAAAAGGTAGTGCTTATAGTGCCCTAAGAAGAACTTTAAGGCTAGCATTTCGCGTTTCGTAGTGCAGTAATTCCGCTCAGCCTTTGACAAGGCTCGGCTGCCAAAAGCGATAGGGTGTTCTAAGCCATCGGATTGAACCTGTGAAAGTACCACCCCAATCGCTTTGTCTGACGCGTCCGTATCTAAAATGAACGGAGGGCGATCCTTTCCCACATTGGGAAAGGCCAATACTGGAGCCGTGACCAGACAAGCTTTGAGGTCGCAGAAGGCCTGTTGACACTGATCCGACCATGCCCAGGAACGTCCTTTCTCCGTAAGTTTATGAAGTGGCGAGGCGATATGGGCGAACCCTTTGGCAAACCTACGGTAATACGTTGCCAATCCTAGAAAACTCCGTAGTTGTTCTACGTTTGTTGGTGTCGGCCATGTCTTAATTTCCTCCGTTTTATCCGGATCCGTTCTGATGCCTTCCTTGGAGATAACGGGGCCCAAAAACTTAACCGACTCCCTGAAGAGAGTGCATTTCTCTGGGTTGAGTTTAAGTCCCGTCCCACGAAGACGTTCAAAGACATTACGCAATCTTCTAATGTGCTGCTTGATGTCCTTTGCGTGGACAATCACGTCGTCCATATAAACCAAGCACTCCTGCGGTATTAGGCCTCGTAGGACTGTGTTCATAAGTCGTTGAAACGTTGCGGGAGCATTGGCTAAGCCAAAGGGCATAGTCTCGAATTCATACAACCCGGATGGGATTACGAACGCCGTCTTCTCCCGATGGATTGGATTAATCTCGACTTGTCAGTAGCCCGACTTAAGATCCAAAGTGGAGAAAGAAGTTGCTCCTCCTAAGGCATCTAGCGGGACATCCATCCGTGGGATGGGAAAGCTATCTTTCACGGTGACCTCATTTAGTTTTCGATAGTCGACACACAACCTAATGGTACCGTCCTTCTTTTTAACCACAACTATGGGCGATGCTCAATGGGATGACGACGGTTTGATGATCTTCTTCTGTAGCATATCTACAATGGCTTCCTCAACTGCCTGCTGATACGCCACAGGTATCCGTCGGGGCCGTTGTCGAATGATGCCTACCTCTGTCGTGTGAATGTCATGGAGCGCACCATTCGTTCGACCGGTGTCTGCTCCCTCCCACGCAAATACGTCTGCATATTCTTGGACCAGCTTGCGAAGCTGAGTGAGGTCGAGCCCCTTACTATGTGCTTTTGTGCTCACCAGTAGGTCTAGCTCATCTGGAGTTGGGTGGGTCTGAGTTGTAATGGCAGATATGGCACCATTGCTCTGCTCATAAACCACCGGTACCTCTTGAGACCCAAGGCGTAAACACCGATGTGGCCGGCTATATTCGCCATCGTACCTATCAAGGAAGTCTGACTCTAATATACCATCGTATGGCATATCATGGCATAGATATAAAGTATGCTGGTACACACTGCCGGTAATAGTGAGTGCGATATCAACACAACCCTTGCTACACATAACAGTACCGTTCGCCGCTTTAACATTAATTGATGACGCCACCAGGTATGGATCGAACATCTTCTGCGGGAACCGTCTTGGGTTGACTAACGAGCATCCAGCCCCCGTATCAACTAGAAAATGCATCAACCTATTGCATACACCTATAGATATAAAGGGTCTAGTGTCAGCACATGACGCATGAATGGCAGGGCATGGAACAGACGCACCTGGAGGCTTCTTAGAACCTTCGCCGCCGCGAGGTTTCCCCGTCCATTGTCCGCCGGGTCCTCTGGATCTCGGCCCTTGGAACACGTTCGTTTTCTGTCGCCACTGTAGAACGGGACTTGGCTGAGCCGGTGTGGAAAACTGGACTTTGTCCCCCAGTTCTGGGTCCGCCGTGAGGGCCTTCTGTACGTCTGCAATTGAGCACGTTATAAGCCCGGCATGCCTTAAAGCGATCTTGTCCGGTAGACCCCGGAGAACGTGGGTTACCGTCAGGGTTTCGTGCATCGACCCTGGGTAAGTCCTTCGGACCAAATCATGAATTTCGGCCATATAGTCATCGACACGTTCGCCAGACCGATATCGTCGACTAACAAGTTTCTGCAAGATGCTCTCGGCGTCCTTCGAGAACAGCGTAGATAACTTTTCAAGTAGCTGTTCGTACGGAGTGTCGTCGGAGCAGCCAGACATTACGACAATCCGCCTGGCAGGAGCAGCCAGGTTTCTCATTACCATGTGTGAACGAGACCTTGGTTCTTCGTATCGCAGAAATCGCTCCATTTTGTCCCCCCAAGCCTCAAAATCATCATCGAGATTAAACTCAGGCGGTTGAGGTTGAAAATTGCCTCTACTCCACAAAATTTGTTCTCTATACGGGTCCGTTTCCGCCTCTGAGGCGGTACCGCTGCCACCAGTTGTACGTTTCCGACCCATGGTATAGTGGATAAGACAA